AGTTGTTTCATTGTCTTAACACTAAGAGGCCTCAGCAAGTGCAGTACAATGAAGCGCAGCACATCAGTGCGAGTGGCAATCTCCATTGGCTTAGGAAAGAAAATGTCTTTTGTCATTGTTGCCATGTCTAAAAATATGTGCATGCTTTTCAGACGCCGAAGAAAAACATTAAGTGGCTAGACAGATGGTACGAATACATTCAGACCCTTCCACAGCAGCGGCAAATCTTTCTAAGCATGCCAACCAGTAAGGCCTTGAGGTTGACGCTACACAGTGTGGTTGCTCTTACTGACGATCTCCTGAATCTGGTTTTCAGTACGTTCTCGTAGAAAACTTCGGACAAGACCCCTTGGAGGAAAAATTTGTTTTCCAATCTCTTTTAGAGCGCTAATAAACACCGACATTTTTTTTTTTCAGAGGTTTTTTGGTATTACCAGGCATGTCGCTGGAGATGGAGGGCAGCCAACTGTGCAGCAATTTTTATTCATTTATCGTATGTTGTCAGTAAATATTGTTCAGCCACCAAAATGAGCTTCAGTAGATTGCAAAGGTCCAAACCTACTTCTGAAGTTGCAGGACATTTCTTGCAAAAATACACCAACAGCAAATCAGGTAAACTCGATTACCTCTTCCATTCTGTATTTTGTGAGTCTCATTTGCACTGTAATTCTTGTACATTACAGGCTGACATCCTTGCAGTGCTGTTTGATGAGATACTTTTAGAGCCTGCAGATGATGAAGTTACCACGGCCACTTTCCAGCCCTTGACAACAAAGCAGAGCATCTTAGACTACCTTGGTGGCTATGTTGTAAATAATTTTTTGACACAGACGTGCACTGCCTACGTTGAAACGTTGAAGACATCATCAAGACTGCCAAGTGACTTGACAGCTACTAAGTCTAAAGGCTACTTGCAAGTCCCTTCAGCCCGCCTTCTTAGACTTTTGCAGGTTGTTGAAAACCATGTGGAGAGGTTTACTGTGGAGAAGGTTGCATCTGGAACTGTGTACATGGACATCGTAGACAGTATACTTAGTGATGATCGGACTGTGCATGCAAGTGTGGGGTGCCAATCACATTTTGTAGCTACAACAGTTGAAATTGTCTACTTTTTTCTGAGGTGCCGGCTGCATTTTTTCACTAGGGAAAAAATAAGGCTTAAAGAGCAGCCAAGCATTCAGTATGCCATGCATCTGGAGAAAAAAAGCCAAGTGAATGAGCGTCCGGAGCCTGCTTGTATTAGTACAAGGATTATGACAGGAGGTTTCGGTTTACTTCCATAATTGCAATGACATTGTTTGGTGGGCATTCATGTTGATGAGGCCAGTCTTCTCGCTTCTGTATTCGTGAACACTCATATGTATTTTTAATTGCATGTGTAATCTTTACGAGCCTCGTACTGTCACCGCATGAGCATTTTATTGTGTGTGTGCTGTTTTGATGATAGTGTCCTATGCCTAGTTTGTCTATCCTCGAAAATATATCTGCTGAACTTAAACCTTACTCTATAGTTTAATACTTTGGCAGTTGTTTTCTTTAACTTTCTGTTTTCGAAATAAAATGCTTATAGCCAGCAATTTACTGCTTGTTATGAATATATAAAACAGATGAAGCCCACTGACTTTCACCCTTTAGTAAGGTGCTAAAAGTATTGAATACATTTTGTAGATCAACAGCTGCACAAGACCTCTGTTCAACTTTCCTCCAAGTGAAAGGAGCTGCCGTAAAAAATTGCTGGGAAAATACATTATACAATCGCTTAGCACTTTGCAGAGTGCGAGGGCCCTTAAACATTTCGCATGGAAAAAAAAGTACCTCATGTGGCTCTTCAATGTGCTTGTAAATCTAAGTACACATCTCGCGCCTCATCTCCCTGGAATGAGAGCACTTTACCAAGCATGTTTAGCAACACACCTTAGCTGCTTAGACACAGAGGTGGTTAAAAGAGCTTTATCAGGGTTTTCACTCGTATTATTACAATAATGTTGTGATATTCACTTCAGAGTCTTGTACGTGCAGTCTGCCCGAGACAGAACTTAGCGACGCACGGGCAAGCTACAATATTTTTTTTCCGCTAACGTAGTATTTCCTACGCCGAGCGTCGGTGGCGCATGGAATGACACCCTAAAGTAGCATAATTAACTCGGTCATGTATATTCAGAGCAATTTAAACTAAGTCTTTTTTCAAAGCAAGGATAAATCGCCGGAAGGAAGTATCATTGCGTAAGTTGCACGCATCAGTACGTTTATCGGTGAAGAATCGGAATTCATGCCCATCGCACGTACTGCTGTATACTGGAAATGTTAGTCACGGTTTTCTTGCTGACGGTCGGCTACAGCCTCGAGGAAAATAAAAAGAGTCAAAGATGCATGACCAAGCAGTCTTTGCTAAATGAGCGTGCAGGGCGTGGCTGCACACCGATTTCGCCGCGATCGAAATGAATAGAACACTGCCGCAACCGAACAGACAGTTATGGCCGCTACGCGCAGGTACGAGTACGCCGCCTATACGCGATGGGTGATCAGTATATGAAAATCCACAGAATATGTCCGTGAAGCCACCAGAACGAGTTTCCGCCACAAAAGCTTCTTGAAATGCCAAAAACGCCGTTTAGGCGGCCGCGAAGAACGCCCCCTTGTCTGCAGTAACGCCCCCTGGCGGGAGGCTCTGTCCCTATACCAAACTTTGCCCAAGTTTCGAGACCACAAAAAAGCATTGAGGAACTATGCCGGTACCCTTCGGCCAAGAATTTCTCTTTCTCTCTGTACTCGTTTCCTCACCAATCGCAGTTCTAGCATCCCATGCCAGACAGATCAGCGCATGTGTTCTGGGAGTGAAGCAGAAGAGAAAGAAGGGAATGAAGAGAGCTCACGGCATTTTGTGATGATGATAATTTTCTATTGACAACACATGGAAAACCTCGAGCATAACAGCTCGAATGAAAAATTAGGAGCCCTTCCTCTATCAGGAAAACTGGGGCAAACAAAGGTTGAAGTGTGTGTGCCTGTCATATTTTCTTTCCCATCTCACAGCTGATCTTGACTTGGTGAAAAACTGCACGTACAGAGCAAGAGAACATGTGATCACTCCCTTTTCCACATAGCAAAGTGAGTGATCCTCCTTCTCCTTTGCCTTCTGCCCACCATCTGTGGGTGAGGAGAAGGACCTGGAAATGGCCCGCAGCCCATCTACCACTCCTGAACAGATTTCTGAAACTGTTGAGCCTATGAGTGAACTTTGCATGAAAGGCCGCCCATGTGTTTTCTTCATTTCTAGTGGAGTAATGGTAAGTAGTGAGGCACATACTCACCCACTGCTCACCAATGCTAAGTAGTGGGGGAGCAGAGATGAGAAGTAGGGCATACACACACTCCGAGTTTCTTGCAAACACCCACAACACGGACACCAACACGGGTCAGGTAACACAAGTTTCACTTATAAAAACCAGAAGCATCAATTTTACAATTTTTTTGCAGATTTTAAATTACATTCGACCTTGTATCTATAGTGGGTCTACTGACTATTGAAAAAATTTCACCTTGATGTTTACTCTTCACTCTATAGTGAGTCATTGTATATATTTTCATGAACCTAACAACTAGAAAAAAATCCACTACAATGCCAGCAAACGGTATACACTCACCTCAGTAGATTGAGTGTTGCACAGCATAGCACAGACGAGTTTTTTAACAGCTTATGTTAAAAAAGCCATAAGGGCTTGATGGGACATGTGCTGTGCCTTGCGAAAACTTTGTATGTTTCTTTTATTATGATTATACACCTAGGCGTATCTCCAGGGGGGGGGGGGGGTCAAGGGGCACTGCCTCCTCCCGCCCACTGAGAGTAGTAGGGGGGGCTGAGCCCTCCCAGTTTCGGCAGTGGTAATTGTTGGCTGCCCACTGAGAAAGGAACTGAGAAAGGATTTTCGTTCAGTGTAGCAGCTAGGTAATTATACTTAACATTTTGCAACATACTTTTCTCAGTTTCCAGCTGAGGAGGTTTTTTTCCATGTGTCGCTTCCATGAAGTGTTTTCGGGCCGCTTATGCAACGCTTTTGCGCCTTGCACACTGACATTTCGGATGAAGCCTGCCCACCTGTGAATGCTTTCATCTATTTCTAATCGTGCTTATCTATCCCTATCCGCAAATAGTTCACAGAGAGCCATACATGCACATAAACGACTCAACATGGATATATCACGACTCAACATGGATATATCACAACTGAAAATATTTATTAAAGGCACATGGATTAATGTCACCAATGGCAATAAAAGCCTCCGCCAAACTGATCACCTGGAATCCTTCTTTAATTACCGTATTTACTTGCATAATCCTCAGACAAACTAGAAATCGTGCCATTGTCACGTTACGAAATAACCATGAAAAATAGGAACGTAATGGCCGATTATCAAACCGAAACCTGGCAGCACACATCACAAAGCATCATTGCAAGCTGCAGTTTCATACACCTTTTGGTAACACACTTTTAGACAATTATTGCTCAACTCTTTTGAACGATGTTTTCATGAACAGCTCCCGGGAACTACAAGGAAGTAAGAACAAGGTTCACAGCCCTCAGCTCCATCTGACGCGCACGCACACGCACGCACGCACGCACACACGCGCGCACACACACACACACACACACACACACACACCACACACACACACACACACACACACACACACACACACACACACACACACCGTAGGGAACCTTGCCCCCCTACTCGTGAAGAAGTTGGTACACCGCTGATTATACACAGAGTTATGTGAAATATTTATGCCAAAATTAGTATGACAATGTCTGTGTAACTGGAAATTCATTAATTACATTGTTAAAGATCAACACGGCTATTTAGTCTGCTATATGAGCCAAGAATAGGTGCACTGATTAGAGTGGTCCGCAAAACCCCATAAAACATGCCCCCATTCCGCCATAATTATTATCAGAAAAGTTCACAGCTAGTGTAAAATAAAACTAAATTTAACTCACGGCCACTGCCAGATGAGGACCTCCGTCGATGGTGCTTGCGAGATGCTCTCTGTTGACGGCACCACAGGTTCACCATGTGGTACGAGACTAGCTTAAGGAACAGCACTGTCACGCAACCCAATGCCAGTGATGACGCAACTGGAATAAAGCCTAAAGTTCAGTGTAGGAGCCTGGCGAAACCATGTAAATCAAAGCGCTATCTGTAATGCATTAACGGCAGTGTGTTAACAATTGCAGCACAATGCCACAAAGCAAACCAACCTTGTAATGTAGCAAACAAAATTTCCAGCTGAAGCGAAATTGATTCTTGTGAGAGAGTTGAACGTGAGGCTATATCTCAAGGTTGTGGTAATCACTCAGTCTATTAGCAGATTAAACCAAGAACCTAGTACAAATCAGTTTAACAATGTAAACCTAGAGTTATAAATGAATTGTACGAGCATAACTGGTAAATACAGTATACAAAGCACAATTGCAATGTCCAAAGCAATGATAAAGTGATAAAACCAAAACAAAATTAACCATAATCAAATAAAGCATTGCTGTATTCTATTTTATGTGGAAAGGCCCCAAGAGTACATAGCTTACAGTCCTATGTAAAATCCCATAGACTTCCATGTACATATGAAGCTTTCAGCCCCATGAATGCCTGCAGGGTTTTTGATATGGCCTCTAGATAAGTATAGCCTTCCATCAGGCAATGCTAACAGCAACCAGGTTTACAGTTTTTCTTTTGTTACTAGTGCTAAATTGCTACCATATTTACTCGCGTAGTCCTCGCACTCGCATAATTCTCGCACCCCCGACATCGCCCAACAAAAATACGATTTCCTTTTTCCCCTACTAATTATCGCACCCCTAAAAAGTGCCGCAATAATGTCACCTGCTCGTTCCAGCCATTGATGATGATAGTGTGCACCATCTGGCGCTATCTCTCAAGCATAGAGCGTACTATTAATGCACCAAAATTCAATCCAATCCAATCCAAGCCAAAGTGGCAAGTGCGTGTTGCGGCGTGATTTGTATGTTGTGTCTGTAATCTTGTTATGTTATGGGGCGATACGGAAGCTATACAGCTGCTTTTATATTGAAAGTGATTGATCATGCACTAAACAGCAGCAACAGGGCCGCCGGTAAGCCTTTGAAGTAGACTAGTTTTGTGTTTGCCACTGGTGACGGCAGCTGAAAGCCACCAAGACATGTTGGGCCTTCCGTGTGCCTAAGATTGGTATTGATGGTGAACTTTATTTTTTCAGAAGGCAACTGCAGAGAATTCTGTTAAATGGCCATCAGCCCAATACTGACGTCCTTTGCTTACATTTTGCGGACTCCTGTTGAGCGACGAACGCTACCGCTAAGCCCACAATGCCCACAAGCTTTGCATACGGTATTCTAATTCTCGACTATTTGATTCTTTTGTGTCTCGATTGATTTTGATTTGTGGGGTTTAACGTCCCAAAACCACCATATGATTATGAGAGACGCTTCTTTTGTGTCTCAAATAAATCTTGTCTTGTGTTGAACCTTTGCTTTTATTGTTGTGGCGTGAGAATTCCGACCTGCAGCCACCTCATTTTCATTTCGTGCTCTGTATATTTTCGTGGAAAGTTTTCCCCGTGTAATTCTCGCACCCCCCAACTTTGCATCGGTTTTTTGCGGAAGAAAATGTGAGGATTATGCGAGAAAATACGGCATATAGCACTTGCATAGCAAAACACAAACTCAGCCTCAGTACTATTCTAAACTTGTCAATACTACTTCGAAATCTGTGTTTCGAATGCCAGAGCTTGTAAAGCTGCTTTTGTACATTATATAAAAAACATACACTGTCAGCACTGCACCTGTGCCTACAGTCCATTTTTTTAAATATATAAGATTTCAGCTAGGTGCAAAGCCTTTAACACTTGGACCATCACATCAATATACCACACTAACACAAACAAAAAGAGAAATACGAAGTGCAAGAAGGATAATATACTCAACAGGCAACATATGAGCCTTACTTTTTTATTTGAATGGCAATGAATGTTTTTTTTTTTTGACGAGGTAGATGACTTTTAGTCTCTTCAATGGCAGACAAAGCTGACTGTTAGCCTATTAACAGGTTTTTAATTGATCACTTTGAGTGAGAAAAACAAGGGCACTGACAGTCTATATTGAGAAACAACTATTAATGTATTTTTCTCTTTCCTGTTATCTTAGCCAAGTTCCCAAAGCCATAACTTATATGTTGCACATGTCACTCATGAATAAAAGGCAGCCCAGTAATGCAAGGCACATAATTCAATTATAGTTTCTGGAATGTGCCAAAATCAAATGAAAACTTCATTATGGGGCATACTAAAGTGAGGAACTCATGATTAATTTTGACCAACCAGAATACTTTAATATGCCTCTAAATCTAAGTACATGGGTGTTCCACCATTTTGTCTCCATTGAAATGTAGCTGATATGGCGGCACCTGAAATGATTGATATGTGGGGTTTAACGTCCCAAAACCACCATTTTATTATGAGAGACGCCGTAGTGGAGGGCTCCGGAAATTTCGATCACCTAGGGTTCTTTAACGAGCACCCAAGTCTGAGCACACGAGCCTACAACATTTCTGCCTCCATCGGAAATGCAGCCGCCGCAGCCGGGATTCGAACCCGCGACCTGCGGGTCAGCAGCTGAGTACCTTAGCCACTAGACCCCTGCGGCGGGGCGAGGCGGCACCTGAATACTCATTCTGAAGGTTAGCAGTATATACTTTGGTCAACTAACTAAAGTGAGTCAATGCGTGGTGTGTAACTCGTTTTTGCAGCAAAACACTGCAACGAGTGTGCACATGCTGAATGGCATCATTTTCTGAGTGGACAGTTCCAGTCACGAACTATTGTGGGCATGGCGGCGATGCCATGATACGGTTTTTAAACCCGATCATGTTTTTCGTACAGGTTTTGCTTGGATTGCTATTTGTCCCAGCGTGTCTATCACCGATGAACGCCCCTTCATCGCCAGCTATGTTCTTGGTGACCGATCAAGAGAAGCCGATGCCCGTGGTCTTTCATCGCCTAAACATCGTTCCCGGAGGAGCAAAGATGACGTCATCACATCCACTAGGGGTGCTAATGGATGCATCTGTCAACGGGACTATAAAACGGCTCTTCAGCACTGTACCTGACAGTGGGCATGGCGGTGATGCTATGATACGTTCTTCAAACCCAATCATGTTTTTCAAACAGGTGAGCAAACGATACGGAAAGCGTTATCGTAGCAATTAGGTTTGCTTATTCTTGCTGCCATGCCCATGGTCATAATGCGAAATGCTTACTAATGTGACTAATTCTCTTCGCTACCTATTGTTATTTAGTGGCGACGTAGAAACTAATCCAGGGCCTACAGAGGGCGATTGGTCAAAGCAACTAAAGGCAATCGCGGACAACATAAAGGAAATCAAGAAAGAAAAATTCGTCACAAATCAGAAACTAACTGCAATCGATAAGAAACTTGAAAAAAATAGTGGACTGGAAAAGCAGGTTTCTGATTGCGTAAAGTGAATAGTGGAACTAGAAAACGACATCAAAGGCATGAACAGGAAAATCGAAGAACTAGAGAACAAAGTCGGAGGTCGAACCTGATTGTGTACGGAGTTGAGGAACAACAACATGAGTCCTTTAAAGAGCTTCTTAACCTCGTATCAAAAGAAATATTTGAAGATACACTAGACGCAAAGACTGCAGGCATTGAACGTATCCACCGACTTCGTAGAACTAAAGAAGGCGATCCGAAAAACAGGCCAATAATTCTCAAGTTGCTCGATTATCACAACAAAGTTAAAATACTCCAGTCTTGTTCCAAACTGAAAGGGAGTGGTTATTCAATAAGCGAGGATTACTCGATTGGCGTCCGTGAAACTAGAAGAAAACTGCGGAAAGTCACGAAAGAAAACCGCAATAGAGGGGAAAGGGTAAGGCTTATTTTTGACAGAACTCAGATAAACGGTCGTTTTTTACTTGGGATGAAGACAGTAAAAATATCGCAGAAGTAAATAAAAAAAACGAAGAGCAACTACCAACGGCGCAGTCTTCTCGACGACAATGCCCATAACCCTTCTGAATGTTAACGTGTGAAGCCTTGCGAACAAGGCAGAACAATTTGAAGCTGTTTTATTGGCTCAAAAACCTGATATTGTTACTGTGAGTGAAACGTGGCTACATTCAAATATATATGACCATGAAATTGTGCCACCGAGCTACATAATTGTCCACAAAGATAGGGACACTAGAGGCGGCGGAGTAGCAATTGTTTTACGGCAGGGAATCGCTTACACAGTCATGCCAGAGGTGAACAGTGTCGAAGCGGTTTGGTGTAAGCTTCTCCTGAACGACGGCTAAGTGTATGTTGGCATTGTTTACAGGCCCCCGAATGCCAATGCGATGTACCTAAACCCCCTTCTGGATTATAAGAATTTGCATACACTCGGTGGCAGGTTTATCATGGCGGGTGAATTCAACCTACTTAATGTAAATCGGTCCTCATTAAGTCCAGGCCCCCTGTCTAATAATATAGTCATCGACTTTTTATTTGCTTTCAATCTAACTCAGCTTGTTGTTGAAAATACATGAATGCAAGGACAGTCGCACTCAGTGTTAGAACTTGTATTTACAAGTGATCACTTTTCCACCGACAGTGCAAGTGTTGAAACAATTGATGGCATATTGGATCATAAACTAGTTCTGTGTACTTTGCCTTTAGCAACTCCAATACGGCAATGTAGCCCAATAAAATATGTGCCCTCCTTTAATAAAGCTAATGTTGCGGCAATAATGAACTACCTATCCCACGAGTATCCCGAGTTTTCTGAGCTATGTGCAGATAATAACGCGAGCATAGATGAAGTGTGGACACAGTTTAAACATCATATCATGCATTGTATTTCCAACTTAATGCCCAAACAAAAACTGGTTACAAGAAAGCACAACCCATAGGTTACCCGCGACATAATTCACCTTAAGCGAAAAATCAAGCGTGTAAGGAAGGCAAAAAAAATGCTAGGAAGCGCTAGCTCACAAATAGCAACGCTAAGATCGACCTTAAAAGGAAAGATACGAGACGGAAAACAGCATTTTTATGGACACATCCTACAAAAGTTTATTAGAAGAGCACCCGATAAATTCTGGCGCTACATAAGTGTAAAATGGTCAACATTATCAGTGTTTCCAGCTGAAGAGGGCAAGATAAAGGCGAATAATTTCAATTCATACTTTCACTCTGTTTTTAGCACTGATAACCTCCAAAAGATTGCACCGGGTTTCAGTCAGGTTGACCAAGGCAGATCACTTCTGTCGTTAAATATGACAGTACCTGGCATTCTTTCACTGCTATTAGACCTTGATGAAAAGAAAAGTAGTGGCCCAGACGAAATACCGAATACCTTCCTTAAACGCTATGCTGAACCCATTAGCAAGTACCTCCATCTCATATTTACAAAGTCAACTAGCGATTACAGTCTTCCGGCGGAGTGGAAAACAGCGAAAGTTGTGCCAGTGCACAAATCTGGTGATACTTCTATTCCATCGAACTACTGGCCAATTTCTTTAACTTGCACTAGTTGCGAAATTCTCGAGCATGTTATCTTAAAGTTAATAACCAAGTATGTAGAAGAAAACAACCACATCTCTCTTTCTCAGCATGGATTCAGAAGTAAGCTATCTACTGTCACTCAGCTTGCAGAGGCTATACATGGATTCGGGCTGGCAATAAACAAACAATCGCAAATCGATGTAATTTTTTTAGACTTCTCTTAGGCCTTCGACCGCGTGTCCCACTCTAAACTCATCACTAAACTCATAAAAAACTAGGCAATGGTCCAATAGTTGAATGGATTAGTGGTTACCTTTCAGACCGCTACCAGTTTGTGCACTATAATGGACAGAATTTTGACACTGTTAAAGTGTTTTCGGGCGTTCCGCAGGGATCTGTTCTCGCTCGGCTCTTGTTCCTGTTATTCATTAATGACATTGTTGAATCAGTAAACGTTAAAATTAGACTATTTGCAGATAACTGCATGATTTACCATGAAATCAAACACATTAACGATCAGGTTGCCCTTAACAAATTTCTAAACAACGTAGCCCAGTGGTGCCAAGATTGGCAGATGGTTATTAATTCTGAAAAAACGATCGTGATGAACGTAAGCAGAAAGAAAAGCGAACTATTATTTCCATACTCGCTTAATGGTGTCACCCTTCGCACAGCAACTCAGTATAAATATTTAAGACTTCTAATATCATCTGACCTCAAATGGACTGCGCATGTACAACAGGCGACGAAAAAGGCAGTGAACAAGTTGTTTTTTCTAAAACGGACCCTACGCTACGCTACCAAAGATACGAAGCGCTTATCTTACATTACCTTTATAAGACCTATGCTAGAATATGCGAATATGGTGTGGTTTCCTTCAACAAATACTGACATAGATTTTCTCGAGAGCGTGCAGCGCAAGGCGGTAAGATTTATTTTTAACCGCTATAAGCGAGCGGATTGCCCTTCCGAGCTTCTGCTCCGAGCAGATCTACCTACGCTCCGTGATAGAGCAAAAATACATCGGTTGAAGTTCTTTTACCAACTGTTGAATGGCCACTTTAAAACTAATGCCTCCGCATTCACTACTAAAAAGCAAAAGGGAAAGTGCGCCAAAAACACGACCTGATCATCAATGAATATTTCTGCCATAACAATACCTTCAGGTTTTCATTTTTCCCTCGCGTAATAAGAGAATGGAATGCGTTTGATTCAGCTACTGTAGCACAGCCAACACTTCAAAAATTTCTAGAAAGAGTTGAAAATCTCATATCGGTGCTCCCGAGTTCTATGTGCTAACCTAATTGCATACGGGTGAAAGCATCCACACTCTAACATTTTATTTGATTTTCTTTAGCATTTGGTTGTAGGCAATGTATTGCTATGCCTGTATGATGCATACATTAGTTATTACCATGATCGCGACGCATGTCATGATGTCATTACTCTTGTGTGCGTTTCTTATGTACTCTTCTTGTACTACCACTGCATTGCCTTGCTTGTTAAAAGCTTGTATCTTTTCCACTCCTGTAATAACCCTCAAGGAGGGTTGACAGTATTTTATAAATAAATAAAATAAAATAAAAATAAGTTGCAAAAAAAGTATGTTGTGCAACCTTTGGTCAAGTCAAGTCTACCAATATGGCGTGTGACCTGGCCTGCTGAATGAGGCAATCTCTGCTTGTGAATCGCTCACAGCATATCACTGGTACAGGGGCAAATGAAAAAAATGCAAGCTGCATTGCATGTTAGTTCTATACTGTTTGCATTTGTTTTCATTGCCCTTTTACCTCGGTGAGAATACTAAGCGGACACTATAGAGTCATCTTTGAACGTAACATGGTGGCTCTAGTGTCTTATTTCCAGCCATGTTTATTTATTTCCAACCTCAAAAAAGAAATGTGAACAGTAGAGCACATAGATGACACATAGTTCATCTTTCTTTCCTTCACAATATAAATGCAGTTAGTGCTCCACATCTGCTATCGGCACGCAGTTCTTCAAAAAAAAAAAAATAATTTTGCTTCGGGAATGTTTCAAACCAGGCACTTTCTAACAATTCACATTTTAATTTCCAATCCTTTCATCACATGCCATGCAAAGCAGCCGATTTATGTGCTATTAGTGGCGAGAGCCAAGGTAAAGGGTAAAGAAAAAGAAAAATGAAGAATGTTAAAAAATATGGCACCAAATGTTACACTAGAATTCAGCACAAGGCTAATGCCTAAATAGCTTTATTGCTCACCAGGATTGCAGTCCCACACAAATACCACCACAGGTGGAATGAGAAGAATAGAAGAAAGGTTGAGAACCTGCATATTTCTGGCCACACCTTCAGGCAGTTGGCCCTGCAAGCACAAACCCAGGAGACCAGCATGTCAAAGGTCTGTCACTGTTACCGTAAGAAGTGATGGCATGCATTTCTGCTTTTTTGAAATGTTTGAGTGAAAAACATATCTTTTTAGAAATTTCATCACAGCAAAACAATACCAACCGTAGCCAAGAACTTTTCAGTGGCCAATGAACACAAAATACACAGGTTCAGTCCTGTAAAAGAAAAAAAAAAGCTACTGACAAACTGTTTGTGACAGAAGTACAAGTTGCTTGTATAACAAGAAATCTTGTCTGCGACATGAGACAGGTATGAATGGCAAAATCATTTATACTGAAAAATTGCTTCTACCCCCCAAAACTATGTATGGCTTGCCCAATCTGCTGTATTATTGCTGTACACAAGCTGGCACACTTCAAATGTGGTGGTGTTTGCTATTATATAGTGACCATCTCATCATGCAAAACATCCCCCCCCTCATCAAAACTTCTGAAAGACAATTTACAAAGTCACTCTATATCAGGCTTCTCAGTGATAGGAGCCTCAAGTTGAAAAACAAAAAGGACCTTTTCAGACATTAGCAACTTCTTCCCTTAAAGCACTTGATGAACAGCAGAAATAATCAGCCTTATTTATTTTCATTTGACATTATGAAGATGAACAATGTGCATCTGGTTAACTGTCCGGTACAATGACTGAGAAACACCTGATGTAGCACTTGTTCCCTTGCCCGCCTTCTTTCCTGCATACGCACATCAACACAATACTGACTAAAGAGTACAGGGGGGATGGAAAGAAACACGAACAGCACAATGCGCTGTTTTTATCATGCTCTGTCTGCCCTTGGTGGCAATAAAAGGATGCTAGATGGTTCTTGATTGTACTGTGGATGACTCTAGTGGTCTTTGGTCACCATCCAGGCTACACTAGCTTGAAATTCAGTGCGAAACAGCAGACTATATATTTAGTATCGTGCGTCAGACCAAAACACACTACAGTATAGATACCACATGTTCACATTTCTTTCAATTCCCACTGCACACAAAAGTAACCACGAACATCCGCTGGCTGTTCATTTTGAATACAAATGTCAGGCCATCGGGATATCCAACATGGATAGACAATATACATACTATGAAAATCCATGTCCCCTGTGAGTGTTTTCTGGACGTCATAACTGGATGTCCAATCAAATATTCAGTTTCGAACGGTGACATGCTGTTCATTTAGTGACATACAACATACATGTGCATTTCTTGACCATTTATGATAAAATTAAAACGTAGTGAAAATATATATAAATCTATGTAAGCAAAAGGGATAATCGAGCAAAATTTGATTTAAAAGATTGGTACTATAAAGTTTATTCAAATATTAGCACACACATTTGATTCAAGGATGCCAAATAATTTTGCCTCCTCAGAGTGATAAAACAATCTGGTTTTATTCAATATATGTGTCGTATGTCATAACAAACAATGTGTTCATTATAATTATTGTCGCATAAAAACTAAGACAAAAATGAGGATCGAGCGCATCATAGCAGTTATCATGCAGGCAAGCTTTCATGCGCCAGCCTCAAGACTTCTCAACAAGCGGTGCACCGCAGTTGCTCAGATTCCTTGAACGTACACGTCATGCTAGACATGCCTCTTTGGGTGTGTTAGGAGAAAATCACTCCATTGCGTTTATTGTTCTGAAACTTGCTTGACCGGCGGCGTGCAATGAGGGAAAGAGCATGGGAAAGGAGGGTGTACGCTTTATGTCGCTTCACAAGCACGTTGAATGGGTCTCCGAGCGGCAGAATGGGCAGATCTCTTTTCAAGTGCACCCGTGAGAACATCAGCAGCAAGCAACATGTGAAGTTACAAATGATGACTTTTCGACAAGAAACATCGAAATGCACAATGAGCCCGCCAATGTTTTCGGCAGAAATTACCGTAGCAAGCAACAGCAACTCCGCACACCCACACGCCACAGATAAGGCGACATCTACAACTGTTCTTTAGGTCTCATCGGGCATTTATCTGTTCTTATCGCACATAAAGCATTGTTTATTCTTCGTATATGCCCTGCTAATAAGTGGCATGTTTCCACTTTTTCATTCGCTTGCATATTCCTTGCTAACAACTAATTAAAAACGTGCATGTAGCTGGGGCTTGTGCACGTTCTTGAGATGCATGTGCTACACACATTCTTTTTTCTCTTGTGCAGGTCAGTGCAATGCACTGTGGTTACTACAATAACAATGCTATACACAGGCACGAGCTGTGTTTGTTAAACTTCATTTAATAAACCTGCAAAACGCTAATTGTTGCTGCCTAAGAAGCCATTGCATTAGAAGGCCGAAAAGCATTGAACATTGAAGTCCTGCAAAACTATGTACAGACTTTCACAAGCGCAGCTGTGGACTAAATTATGTGCTTCTTAGCCTTGATAAATGTTGATAATAACAGTTCGATAGATAGATAGATATGTGGGGTTTAACGTCCCAAAATCACCATATGATTATGAGAAATGCCGTAGTGAAGGGCTCCGGAAATTTTGACTACCTGGGGTTCTTTAACGTGCGCCCAAATCTGAGCACACAGGCCTACATCATTTCCGCCTCCATCGGAAATGCATCCGCCACAGCCGGGATTCAAACCCGTGACCTGCGAGTCAGCAGCCGAGTACCTTAGCCGCTAGATCACCGTGGCGGGGTTTGATAATAACAGTTCCATTGTTCTTAAAAGCCCGCTTGGACCCCATTTTTTAAGAATTCATTTAGCAGCCCAAAAGTTTCTGTGGAAAACAGAGGCCTCCGAATGCGCTGTGTGGATACGTTGTACTCGCGCAAGGTTTCTTGAATATGCACAGGCTATATACACACACACAATTTATGTGTGTGTGTGTGTGTGTGTGTGTGTGTGTGTGTGTGTGTGTGTGTGTGTGTGTGTGTGTATATATATATACATACATATATATATATATATATATATATATATATATATATATATATATATATATATATATATATATATATATATATATATATATATATATATATATATGAGATATAACAGACAGTAATGCCAAGGAATGTACAGGGGAAATTATTAACATTAATGGAATGTAAATAAGAAGAAAGAAAAGTGGATGAAAAAATTACCAACTGTAAGCAGGAATCGAACCTACGACCTTCGAATTCGAAGGTCGTAGGTTCGATTCCTGCTTACAGTTGGTAATTTTTTCATCCACTTTTCTTTCTTCTTATTTACATTTTATTAATGTTAATAACTTCCCCTGTACATTCCTTGGCATTACTGTCTGTTATATCTCATTATTATTGTGTTAAAAACACGGAAAAACGAGCCCTTAGGTATACACTTCTTTCCCTTATATATATATATATATATATATATATATATATATATATATATATATATATATATATATATATATATATATATATATATATATATATATATAGAGAGAGAGAGAGAGAGAGAGAGAGAGAGATGTGGACATGTGGCTCATCCAGTACTAACAAGTGAACAAGTCCAATGGCTGGAATAAGGCCGGTCAATACTCACCAACGTGGTGTTCTCCCTGACTGACACCGCACTTTTTTAACAAGGTGCTTTTCACATGAGATCTTTTTGTTCAGGAACAAAAGGCGTTCTTCGGAGACTCAGCCGCTAAAAATAAGGGTGCTGAACAAACGCTGTCACAACGAGTACAGCTCGCAGGTGAGACTTGCACCGGTCTTTGTTTGCTTCGTTTATATGCCCAACAATATATATATGTGTACATATATATATATATAATGAGGACGAAGTTGACACTGAGACTCTGGCAAAGACGCGCATGTGAGGCAAGAAAAGTAGAGGAAGACAAGGTAGAGAATAGAACAGGTGGCCAAGAATCGGGCATTGTCTCTGTTTCATTGCATTTCAATGGCACAGCTCGACAACTGCTGAACCTTGCGGCTGAAGCCACCTGTACCTCACAGGTTGTCTACAGCGCGGGTCTCTTATACTAGGAATGCCGTCCACACTTTCTGAGTAATTGAATTCATGACCCAAACGCAGTTGCAGCTACTGAACGAATCATCCGCGAACGGCGTCAATGCCTTTTCGGTGGTTACAGGGTACGATCTGTCGGGAACCTTACTACCACCCTTATCAAATAAGGCGCACGGCCTCCTGTTATTTGGAAACGTCGCGTATTATTCCCGTGATATGAATCCCGAGCCCAAGACTCTTCTAACGGGTCAGCATCCAAAAGACATTGGTCGGGCTTCCTTAACATACCCCGACGTTGCCAAGACAGTGCGTCGTCTCTTGTTGCCTGGGAATGCTGTTCATGCTTCCCATCATGACACCCTCTCGTTCAATGCTCTATGAGCCCTCAGCAGCTTTGGGATGCTGTACAAGCTCCCTCGGACAAGCAACCCGCTACCGTGGAACACCTCCCACTTCCCGAACATTGCCACTAGCTTCGCATTCGGCTCATCGGATAGCGCCCCGCAGCTGCGGCCTACCCTCGCGCAACTCCGCTTTGAGCTTAACGCCTGTATAGCGCCGAGTTCCATGATATGTCCTGATGCTGTGCCAACATTCTGCGCGATGAATGCCCTGCTGGCTGCGGCCGCCTCACAAGAAATTGAATACAGTTTAGCCGAGAACCACAGAGAGCTCAGGCGTGTACTCACACAACTCTCACAGCAACTTAGCCGTTTGACATCGGCACACTCTCCATTTTCACCAGTCGTCCAACCATTGCTTGCACTCGGTGAACCACCAGAATTCTATTAGTTCCAGAATGACGAAGACGGCTAGGTGGCGACTGTCAATGCTATAGAAGCGCAGGGGACTTGGACGGAGCTTCAGAAATGGTCCGTGGCTGTAGAGCGCCTTTGGGAAGGTGCCACAGCGTGGCACGGGTTGAAGGAATGAAGCAGCAGCCATAGGCGAAGTGGAGTGCAGCTCTCATTGCTGCTTTCGACCCTATTGTCTATGACGCCACCAACGACCCTGCCACGTCTTTTACAGAGGCCAAACCTCGAGAAGGCCATCTCCCCGGGGTTGAACCTGACATGTCTTTTACAGAAGTCAAAGCTCGAGAGAGCCATCGTCTCGAAGTTGCAACTGTGAATTGCAGTTCACCTGTGCAGCCGGACCTAGCACAAATGCCATACTTAAAATGTGCTATTGGCAACCGTAGCTAAAACATTCCTACCAGTGACCAAGAGTAGTTTCCAGCCACATCCATAGGGAAAGCTTCCCCCATGCTCATAATTGCTTGGACACTTGGGGTCGCCGGCACCTGTCATACTGAACGCCTTAACAGCGCACCCGTATGTCTCCACAGATGCAGCGAATATCATGGGTGTCCTATCACTACACCATCCGCACGTATCCGGAGGTGCTTACAAGACAGGCTTTGACCAGGCGAACCCATATTGCCTAGCCGCCACGGCACTTATTGGAAAGTGAGCATGTGGGCATTTGTTATGCGCAAAGCATTATAAGTGCTACCACCATGAATGATACCGACGTGCCTGTTAGTGCTGTGGTCAGTCTCATCGAGGGGCTTGATGGTGGAGCCTGAGTCCCCTGCTGGTGATATTCTGAGTGCTATGGCTCCATTGTTTGCAGCCCTTTGTCGAATACCACAACTACAAGCATCTCGGGGAGCACACCAGAGCTACCGCAAGGGCATGGGGTCCCCCGATCATCAGCAGAGATGCTTTTCTCCACTTCTTCAGTAACTGGTGGGAGATCCCACTGCCGCAGCACAATCCTTCATGAACAGCGGGGTAAACTCCACCCCTTGCGACATTCTACGGTTGCGAATGCGCAGTGCTTTGTGTAGAACTAGGCGACAAAACAGGCATCAACTGGAACTGCGGGAATCTGAAAACAGTTGGGTACGCCCGCCAAAGATATTGTTGGCAAGTTTTCAAAAGGCGTCACACTGTGGAAAAGACTGATCACAGCAACAGAGACAATTCCAACCTTCAGAACACACAGAGGATGATCTTCAGGTGGAGGTGCAGCGTGGCCGAGACCTACCGCCCCGGTGCAGCTAACATCACCCACCGGAGACATCATTGGCAAGTTCTCACAAGTTTTCACAGGAAAAAAAAACCGACCCCAGCGACAGAGTCGATTTCAGCAAGCGGACAGCCTACAGACAGATACCCAGGAAGGGTCACAACGCGGCTGGTTCCAACCAATGCGATGCAGCCAGCATCGCCTATCATAAACGTCAACTGCTGCATCTAGCCTCACCCACCAGAATATTGTTGTGTGGCCCATCGACAATGCTTGCAGTCATGACCAGGTCATGACGAAGACCGACACTGGAACTCTGGCACAGATGCGCATGTGAGGATAGAGAGGTAGAGAAAGTAGAGAATAGAACAGCTAGCCTAGAATCAGGCTTTGTCTCCGTTTCTCCACATTACAATATACATCATCATCATCATCAGCCTGACCACGTCCACTGAAGGACAAAGGCCTCTCCCATGTTCCGCCAGTTAACCCGGTCCTGTGCTTGCTACTGCCAATTTGTACCGGCAAACTTCTTAATCTTATCTGCCCACCTAACCTTCTGTCTCCCCCTAACCCGCTTGCCTTCTCTGGGAATCCAGTTAGTTACCCTTAACGACCAGCAGTTATCCTGTCTATGTGCTACATGCAGCCCATGTCCATTTCTTCTTCTTGACTACAGCTATGATATCCTTAACACCCGTTTGTTCCCTAATCCGCTCTGCTCTCTTCTTGTCCCTTAAGGTTACACCTACCATTTTTCTTTCCATTGCTCGCTGCGTCGTCCTCAATTTAAGCTGAACCCTTTTTGTAAGTCTCCAGGTTTCTGCTCTGTAGCCAAGTATTGGCAAGATACAGCTGTTATATACCTTCCTCTTGAGGGATAGTGGCAATCTACCTGTCATAATTTAAGAGTGCTTGCCAAATGTGCTCCACCCCATTCGTATTCTTCTAGTTACTTGATGGATGTCCAGAATATCCACAATGTATGTCTCGTCGTACACCTACCAGATATCTGTGGTTACTTGGGCATATATGGCAAGTATAAAGTGAACAGACAAAGAATACACATGATAAAAATGGCTACTGAATAAAATTTGACTCCTACCTCCATAAAAATAAAGTAGTTCACATGGCCTTAAAATTAATCTTGTTTACTCTATGTGTAGACTAAAGTAAATTGTCTGCTGCTTCTTATGATGATGATTTTCTGTGGAGGTCTTGTGACCTCGGAAAAACTCCTCATTGCTGCACAACTATATCAAGAGCATGTAACAACAGCAGCATGATGTATAATTAAAGTCCAATTCATTTAACTCTCCTACTAAGCCATTGTTGTAAAAAAATAAAAATGAATAGCATCAGTTCATTTTTTTTGTTCTTAACAGCTGTCACTAGTAATTTGCAGCAAGTTTACGCATGCTAAACAGTTCCTTACAAAAACTTGAAACAGAAGCAGACATAAAAAATTGTGATTACAACCTATGAACTTTTATCTAGGTCTCGATGCTGTATTTAAAGGAGCCCGGCGACACTATTTGAGCATGTATTTTTCATCAGTTCGTCTGATGCTGTGGAACGCGTAGATGTAGTGCAAATGACAATGCCGAAATCAACGCTGTTATAATTTTAATGCACTGGGACAAACTACCTTGATTTCAGACTACGGCGACACACATCGGTTATTTTTGTTATGGAAAGTGATGTCAAATCATGTGAGGTGACGACAAGGACCATTCGCTTTTTATTGGCCGGATGCTACAAATAGCATGCAATATTCCTATGGTGGTAGCTAGGACATACAAGTGAATGCTAAAAGCAGCAAGAACCCTTTTTACACTTTTTTCAGAAAGAAATGATTTTTGTTCCTAAATGATATATTTTCAGAACAATGAACGCAACACTTAGCCTGCGAACGAGGCTAGGGTACACCAGCATTAAAGGTGGTAACGCATGCAGTGATTTTAGCGTGCCAAAAATGTGACAGGTGGTGGGTGCCGGCATTGCCGATAGAACGCGTCTTGCAAGCAAGCCGAGAAGTGACTCCGCCCAAAGCATATGTGTGTATCTTACACAGTGAGTGTGGTAGCGTGTGCTACCCGACGCACGTGGTTCGTAGTAACCATGCTAATGACGTCGTCAAAAAGAACGGTAGCGAGGTATTGTGTGACGGCCACTTTGAGGAGACCTTTCCGGTATGTCTTTACAAGATGTGCGCTGTGATTGAAAGCTGTCTTTGATGTCAGCAGGCTAGTGAAATGCAAAACAGAACGTTTATCATCATCATCTGTGAGATTTGAACTTTAAGGACTCATAGCTTCCCTTTCCATGCACCAATTTCTATAATTCTTGTTGCAATTGTCTCAGTAATCATCGTTACAAACATTCTGGTGCTAAATAAGGCTGTTCAAAAAGTATTGCAGGACCCCTTTAATGCCTTCATTGCCTATGCAATCAAAGCTAGAAAATAGTCAAAGCTGTACAAAGTTAATTCAGCACAAAACTGGCCCATTGCCACCCGCTCAAATAATTTCATACCAATATGAACTGCCAACTAGCCCAACAAGTTCTTTCAAAGCTGTATTGTATGCTTTATAGGAATAGTGACACCACAAAATGTTTATTTATCTGCCCGAAACTTGAAAAAATTGTTTCATTCTCTGACGAGGCCTCTAATGCAACCGACCGACCAATGTAGCATAAACTGGAGGCAGAAACTTCTCGCAGAATTCCTGCCTAATGAACATGTCTTGAGAACTCAGTGCAACTTGACACAATACAACTTTATATTGCCATTTCCGCTCTGTATGTGCACCAGAAATATTGACTCTGCTAATAATCCAAAACATTTATTTGTAAATTTGGGGTCTAAGCAGAATTTTTGCTGTTTTCCACAACTATGACTCTTGATCAACAAAAGTTATTGAATCTAAGCCCCCCCCCCCCCTTTATTTAATAACTGGACAGATTTTGCTGATGCATATCATAGGTTAGAACTATGTGCTCATGTACTAATTTTATTTATTCACTGCACAGTGACAGTATACTATAGAAAATATTTGAAGCAAATACAGTGGCAAGTCCAAAATTGTGAGACAAGTAGGCATGTAGTGATGCTTACCGAGTGTAGCATAAACTGGAGGCCATACTCTGGGATCTAGTAACAAGTACCGCACCCACTTTCCTGGGTCCACTAAAATTCCATATCTACCAAAGAGAGAGACAAAGCAGTTCAAATTCAGCATCAAAACTTACAACCAATGTGACTAAAAAAACAAATTTATATTTTGTCCTTAACACAAGACGAGAAAAAAAATCACTCAGGAGTGCGATAATGCATAATGCGAGTCCCAGGCACAGCTTTTGAGGTGTTTTGATTTTGTGATAAGTGGAGACAAACAATTTGAGGGATCCATGTATGTATGTATAGTTGCATATCACTATTCATTTTCCACAATTGTAATGAAGGAAGCTTTGTGGTCAGAGAAGTGAGTGCAGGTATGTTTGACTTTCTGCACCAATGCCTGGTTCTCAATGACAAAATCTATGCAAGCGTTTTGCAAGGTCATCACATAAGTGGGATGAGTTGCGATGAAGAGGAGCATGATGTTCTCGTACATAAGTGGTAGAAAGGTCTTGTTTTTTATGTCTATATTAAGGTCCTCCACAAATATTGTTAATGTGGGTAGATGTACGGTTAATGCATGGTGCAGGAGGTGCACGAAGTCTTTGGTAACTGTGGCGGGTGAGAAGCATGTAGCCACTATCAGCAAGCTGTTGTTTAACTTTCCAGCCTGCAGTTCACCAACTTCATCTGAGGTACTAAATGTTTCTATGGGTATTGCAGACATGACCATACACATGCAAGTAGATGGCCACACCCGATGGTCTGTTGAGATCTCCACGAGTGCCACAACATTACTAGTAGTATATGACTTCAAAGGGTTCCTGTAACACATAGTTTGTTTTTCTTTACACTTGCAACTCCTGTGCACGGTAGTAGGGTTTGCCAAATTTCTTTTTTTTTTATTTATCATATACTGCAAACCATTTAAGGTCCAAGCAGGAAAGGTACAGCAAGTTCAAAGGTAAAATAAAGGTACAACAAAGTTACAACAAAATTGATACTGGTATACACGAAATGTAAGAAAAACATAGAAATCACCATCAAATTATACTCGTTTCTGACTTCTGTGTCATGAATTTCTGTGTCATGGACTCAGTGACGCTGCTTAAAGCAGGAATGGGTGTCTAAGAGCTGTGTTTAAAAAAGATGGTAAAGTTTATTGTTTATTTTCTACTGCCATGACACAGAGACGTATCATAAGCAACTTAGCTGTGCCATTGTGCAAATACAGTATTAAAAGGGGCAGCATTCCAGTAAACTTACAAAAGGGTATAATAACTATGTGAATGGAATCCTATCTATATTCATAGTTCACAGAGGCCACAAATGGCATCAAAGGCACGGTTGGCCTGCCAAGGGTGGTTGGATCAGGGAGCAAGGTTTCTTGAGGGGGTGAAACTTCGCTCGCTGAGGCATCCTGAAACTGTCACGACATCGAGCACAGCACTTATGCGCCCTCTATCGCGAAACTCTGCTAGCAGAGAAGGAAAAAAGTGCGCAGTGCCCTCCCCACGTTATCGTTCAAAATGTATTTCGATGTGTACTTCCCGGCTTCAAATTTTAGCGCGACAGCGTTTAAAAGCTCGTTTCGCAGAAATGCCGACATCGGCACCCGTTAGCGCACCCAGGATTTCTCTCGGGGGGGGGGGGGGGGGGGGGGGGGGTGAAAGTTGATTTTTGATTGATATGAGGGGTTTAACGTCCCAAAACCACCATGTGATTATGAGAGACGCCGTAGTGGAGGGCTCCAGAAATTTCGACCACCTGGGGTTCTTTAACGTGCACCCAAATCTGAGCACGCAGGCCAACAACATTTCCGCCTCCATCGGAAATGCAGCCGCCGCAGCCGGTGGTTGAAAGTTGAAATAAAACTGAAGTATCACATACTAAAGAATTATTATATGTTTTATTACCTGCAACAACAACAATAATAAAACAATTATTATTATATACAATGAGATGACAATGACAACGATCTCTGGGTATTTTTACCAGGAGGCCTTGAAAAACCTTGAGAAGGCCAAGAAACAGGAAATTGGATAAAACAAGGCGTAACATAGTTCTTAACAGACATGTCCAGCAAATACTTATTTTTTCTAGCTTTTCAGCTCCGTTTAGTGATTCTGGTGCTGATGTGTCGGGCGACTGGGGATCAAACAATGCTGTTTAAAAAATATAAGACTTCTATGGTAGAGCAAACAAAAGGAATGCAAGAAAGACACATGACAACACATGGCGCATTGTGCTTCTCTTGTTCCCCAATTACTGTGTATTTTGTCTTTTTACCCGAGTAATCAGTAAATGTAATACAAAGAAGCCCAATTAACAATTTTAGTAGCTAAATAACTGTAAATGAGGATTTTCTAGATAATGCGAGCAGAATATCTTATATATTTAACTTCCTTTGAACCTCATCAGACTACAAGTATAAAAGTGCACCGTAAATAATGATTACAAACTTTGCGGTATTGATTATAGAGTATGCACAGCTCAACGCAGCGCGCATGTAGTGAAATTCTCAGCTAACGAATCAACTGCATTGTAACTATGCTTACTGATTTGCAATGTCATTCGGGTGCTCAAGTTTGGCAACTGAAGCATCCTCAGTGATGACTAATGGATGGATGCATCTGATGGCGGTATGTGCCGAGTAATCACTTCTTTTTCGACTGTAATCGAAGATTTCGGTGCTGTTGCTGTGTGTCTTGAATCTCAATGCGGGATCTTTTTCGGGGGTCGGTGAGGATCGCGTTTGACTGACACTTCAGCGCTGCCTGTGGTCTGTTTGGAAGCACACTGCCGACACATCTTCACACAGCAGACGCAGAGCGCAAGTTGTAGCGAGCGAACTGAACATATGCATGCATAGGTGGCTTTCGTCCGATGTACCAAGTGCAAGAAAGAAGGGGAAAAAAGAAGAGAGCGTGACACATAGCTTCTCAAAAAAAAAAAAAATGCAAAAAAAGGTGAACTTCGCCAATAAATCTTTCGAAGTTCCTAAAGCCATTTTTCCTCATATCACGGCGTCTTACTACTCCCTTCTTCACAACTGTAGGTTTCGCATGGCAGTCGTGCTTGCTAGGGGTCCCTGCATGTGTGCGGTACTGCGGGGTATGTGGCTGGCAACCATGCTGGCGGCGCAAACGCTATAAGGCTTGCTCAGAAATGCAGGAACCATTAGCACACCCAGGATTTCTCTCTGGGGGAGTCGAAACTTGAGATAAAACTAAAGTACCAGATACTAAATTATTATAGGTTATATAACCTGCAATAATAATAATAATAATAATAACAATAACAATAATAATAATAATAATAATAATAATAATAATAATAATAATAATAATAATAATAATAATAATAATAATAATAATAAACTACATTATTATTATTATTATTATTATTATTATTATTATTATTATTATTATTATTATTATTATTATTATTATTATTATTATTATTATATACATGAGATGATAGATGATTGGTATGGGAGGTTTAGCCCCTCAAAACCACCATATAATTATGAGAGACACCATAGACGAGGACTCCGGAAATTTCGACCCCCTGGGGTTCTTTAACGTGCACCCAAATCTGAGCACACGGGCCTACAGCATTTCTGCCTCCATCTGAAATGCAGCCACCGCAGCCGGGATTCGATCCCGCAACTTGCGGGTCAGCAGATGAGTACCTTAACCACTAGACCACCGCGGTGAGGCATATACACCATAGACCACTGCGGCGGGGCATATACAATTAGATGACGATGACATCGATCTCTAGGTGTTTTTACTGAGAAACCTTAAAAAACCTTGAGAAGGCTGAGAAACCATTGGATGAAGCCGTGCACGTAGAAAATAAACGGGAAATAGAATAAAACAAGGCGTAACGTAGTTATCGACAAAGATGTCTGGCAAATACTTATTTTTTTTTAGCTTTTCAGCTCCGTTTAGTGATTCTAGTGCTGACGTGTCGGCCGGCTGACAGTCAAACAATGCTGTTTAAAAAGAGTATGATTTCTATGGTAGACCAAAACCAAAGGAGCGCAAGAGAGACACACGGCGACACCTGGCGCAGTGTGTCTTTCTTGTGTCGCAATTATTGTGTATTTTTTCTTTTTACCTGAGTAATCAGTTAATGCCATACAAACAAGCCCCATTAGCAACTTTAGCAGTTAAAGAACAGCAACTGAGCATTTTCTGGATAATGTGAGCAGAATATCATATGTTTAACTTTTTTGGGCCTCGTGACATTACAAGAATGAAAGTGCACCGTAAATATTGATTATAAGCTTTATGGCATTGATTATAAAGAGTAGTTACAGCTCAACGCAGTGCACATGTAGTGAAATTCTCAGCTTACGGATCAACTGCACTGTAACTTTGCTCACTGATTTACAATGTCATTCGGGTGCTCAAGTTTGGAGACTGAAGCATGCTCAGTGAGGACCAATCGATGGACGCATCTGACGGTGGGTATGTGCCGAGTAATCGCCTTCTTTTTGGCTGTAATCGAGGATTCTGGTGGTGTTGGTGTGTGTTTTAGCGAGCGACCTGAACGTATGAATGCATGGGTGGCTTTTGTCTGATGTACCACATGCAAGAAAGAAGGGGTAATAGAGCATGACACATCCTGTGAAAAAAAAAAAAAAAAAAAGGTGAACTCCACTATTATACCTTTCGTTAGTTCTCAAAGCCATTTTTCCTCATTACACCACGGCGTACATCTTACTGCTCCCAATGGCACGTCGCCCGAGTTCGTTTCAAACGGGCGACGGTTTCGCTGGCACCTCGGACAACGGAGAGTGATATATTTATGTCGTATTGTTGATAGAGGAAATACTGTTGCTGCATTTCTAAGATTGCAGCATTGCAGTCACGGTCTCAGAGTTTCAAATAGTGAGATGATAATGAGAAAGTTTGTATATTCAAAGAACTTAATGTATTGTGATGAGGCAATAAAAAGAAGAGTTGCACAATACAGTCGATACATTTATTCGCCACTTTGAAAAATTGGCTGGTGGGGTATCATCAGTGCCGGTAGGCCACTCTGGTTTAAATAAAAAAGGCCTGCCCCTGCC